CCATCATACATAAAATTACACAAATCATTCTGTTAGAAAAAGAATTCGATTATTTAAAGAAAAGATCACTAAAACACAAGAAACCACCTGTCTTCTGCTCTCTCCTATTTGAATTCTCTCCCCGCTCCTCTGTTGACTTATTCAAGCTTCCGGGGTGACAGGTATTATGCCGTTTTTCAGGGAGAAAATCGACCGTGAGCATTTATCACTTTCACCACTGTGGGGGGAATATAAGGGAAACGATCTTATAAAACATACTGAGAGACCACCTCCGAGAAAGCCATGTGGTTGGCAATGGCCAGCAAGGATGTATGAGGTAGACGGTTTTCTTCAACTTCAGCACTGAGGAACCTTAGAAGCTGTCGTTGCCGCGGGATTCGCCGGCAGTTCAATGCCGGCTCAACGACTAGATGTTCCAGATGCTTTGGATGAGGTCTCACTGCCTAAGGTATTGTTAAATCCAAGTATTAAGAATCACTTGAGGGGGAACCAGCAGTTGGCGTCATGGCTATGTCGCTGGACTCCCACGTAGTTGACCACACTTTGCGTCCCGGACCCGGTGGCTTAAACTCACGCCGGGCGTGTGTGCGTGCGTGCCCAAGATCCCGAGAGGAGAATGGAGGAGAAGGGATTGCGGCGTGACCATCCCCCCTGGGGGGTGATTTCTCACTTTCTGTCTCTCTCTGTCTTTCTGCTGACTGTATATGCCCTATAGCAAAAACCTCTCAAAAAAAAAATAATAGGTATGGAAGTTAAGGCTCTGGACTCCCACGTGGCTGACGGTAGTCTGAGTCCTGGGCCCAGGATTAGAAAAATCATGCTGGGCACATGTGCATGCATGCCTAAAATCCACAGAGGAGAATAGACGAGAAAGGAATACACTTTGGCCATCCTCCCCAGGGGTGATTTCTCACTTCTCTCTCTCTCTCTCTCTCTCTCTTTTCTCTCTCTCTGTCTCTCCAATGAGTGCATGCACACTCTGGCAAAAACTTAATAACATTTACCAAAAAAGCAAAACACACTTCACAGCAAAAAAAAAAAAAAAAAACCTCTTTTTTTTTTTTTTTTTAAACAGGGGGAGCAAACAATGCTAACAGTACTGTTGTGGGTTTTGTTTGTTTGTTTGTTTTTAGAAATTTTTGCTATAAGTCATGTGCACTTGCTGGACAGACAGAGACAAAAAGTGAGAAATCACACCTCTCCCCCAGAAAGGATGGCCATGCTGCGATCCCTTCTCCTCCATTCTCCTCTGAGGACTTTGCACATGCATACATATTCACCCAGTGTGAGTTTCAAGCTTCCGGGTCTGGGACTCAAACCGCAGTCGGCCACGTGGGAGTCCAGAACCTTAACCACTACACCACCTGCTGGCCCCTCAAGGTATGAGTGAGAATAAGGGGTCTCTGCTGTGCAAGAGATGGTCTGATGTCACCCTCTGAGTGGAAGTGCCTTTTCCTACATAGAGTGGTGCTGTCTTGGTGTGGTCACCTCCTTCGGTTCCTGGACCCTGCTGAGAACCAGCAAACTCCACCTATACCCACCTACCCCATCTTTCCTTGGTGACCCTAAAAGGGCATCAACTCCTGTGAGGTTGGAGCGATGGGAGAGACTGACAGACCTCTTCAGAGATCCCTAATAGTGAGCTGGGGTGGGGGGCTCTCCCACGGGCCATGGGCAAGGGGATACTCACTCATCACTCCCTCCTTGGAGAGAAGAGACAAGATGATGTTCTGGGGCCAGTTGTCCAAGTTCCCAGGGGGCTGTTCTCCTTTCCTGCCTAAGCCCATTTACATCTACACTCAAGGTTCTGCCTCAAGCTCTATGACTCCAGTCTACACCTGTGTCTTGGTAGACCAGATGGTTGATCTGTTAAAGCCGAAGGCAATAGAGAACATTTTTATGCATTTTATAGATTTTTTTCTTTCTTTCTTTCTTTCTTTCTGAGTACTCTTCTCAGTGTGAGTTAACTGTCTTTTTGATGAAGTGTCTTTTTAATTCCTCTTTGCACTGGGGATAGATCACTAAACATAAAAGTCTACCCAGAACCCATACGTTTCCTACCATTGGATAAGAGAGTCCCTTGGCCTGTTGCTGGAAATTTAAAGACAGGCCAGAGACAGATTTGTGAAAGTTCTGCTCGAGGGCCCCGTACTCAAACATATGTCTCTGCAAATGGGCCATATGGCATGGTCTTGACAGAGGCAGAATTCCCGGGGAATTGTGCGGGTTTCCCTAAAGACTAAAGTTCAGCAAATGCTATCAGAGCTGCTGCACAGACTTCACGGCTGGCCAGCCCTCCAGTATATCAAGCAGTTAGCTCCACATCGACATGCTGAACCCCACTTCTCCTTTCTGTTGCTGGCTGCGTTTTCCTGGGACTCCATCCTTGAGGGACAGCTGCTGCTTTGCTTGGTGCATGCAGCGTGGTGGACTTACCCCACGTTGGAAGCGTGGATAATGAAAGGCATGTGTGACCCAGTGACACGCTACCCTGCATTCTTCATACCTACCGAGAAGCATACCTTTCCCCTGACTCTCCTGGCTGTAAAACTTCCCAGGACCCTGAGAATCTCAGTCACCAATACAAAGAGAAAAATATGTAGAAAGATGCTCTGGCTGGCAAACCTTTGATTGACTTCAATGAACACTGGGGTTCCATTTTTCAATGGGAAACAGGCAATGTCTTTTTTTTTAATGAATTATTTAATTTTGGGACCAGCAGTTAGGATAATGGCTATGTCACTGGACTCCCATGTAGCCGACCGTGGTTTGAGTCCCAGACCCAGTGGCTTAAACTCATGCTGGGTGTGTGTGCATGCATGCCCAAGGTCCCGAGAGGAGAAGGGATTGTGGCATGGCCATCCACCCTGGCGGGCGATTTCTCGCTTTCTGTCTCTCTGTCTCTCTCTGTCTGTCTGGCGAGTGCACACGCCCTATAGCAAAAATCTCTCCAAAAAATAAATTAAAAATAATACATAAAGGAGAGCACAAGAAAGGGTCTCTCAGAGAAGGGACACTTGAAGGATGAGAAATCGTTGAGAGCTGAGGAATGAAGAACTAAAGCACAGGCAGTATTGATGGTGAATGGAGATGAAGAGAAAGACTGGGGGAAATGATCGCATGGAAGAACATGGTGTTTACTCAAAGGATCCCTCGGCATAAACATGCATTTCTTCGTTTGCTTATTCATCCATCCACCCATTCACTAATCTACTCTGTATTTATCTATCTATCCATCCAACCTGTTTTCTTGCATCCACCCATCTACCCAATAATTCATCCACACATTGCTTCATCAGTTCACTCAGCCACCATTTTATTTATACAATTATTTTATTTCATTTCATTCATTATCCTCATTATTTGGAAAGTTTGAACAGATAGAGACAGGGGAAGTGAGAAAGCAAGCCAGCAGGTCCAGGACTTGAACCATGGTCAGCCATGTTGGAGTCCAGCGCCCCACCTACCATGCCGCCTGCTGACCCCCGCTCATTCACCCTTCTATTTATCCGTCTACCTACACATCAACCCCTCCCTGCATTTTACTCATTCATCCTTCCACATCTCTCTCTATCTACTCACTCACCCATTCATTATCTATCTTGAGCCTGAAAGGACTTAAGGTGGACTAGGAAGACACACGATATACACAGAGAAAATACAAATGAAACAGTTAAATAATAAACCAAGAAGTCAGTAGGTGGCCTGCTGGTTCAAGTGCTGGACTCCCACATGGCCGACCATGGTTGGAGTCCCGGACCTGGCGGCTTGCTTTCTCACTGTCCCTTGCTTTCTGGTGAGTGCACATGCCCTAAAGCAAATTTTAAAATAATAACAATAATAAATAAAATTAAATAAATAATTCTTAAAAGAATAGAAGGTTATCGCCAAAGTAGGTGAAGATGAAAAGGAGAGAACTAGAAAAAGGCCATAAGACAGGACCAGGGACTCTGTCCCCATGTGCATTCCCTAGGGCCATATGCATGGCCTACCTGAAGGCCATTTGCCTGGTCTCTTAGGATGTTGGGTTGTTGCGTGGGTCCCCAAGTGGCCTCTCTATGAACCTAAATTTCTACCACCTCAAGTCTAAAGGAGGGCATCGCTGAAGTCTTTCACTGTACTCTGCACCAAATATTTGATGACATTTGAGTAGACATTGACAAAACACAATCCATCTTCCCATTCCCTCTTTGTCAGCATGCATCATGAACTGCCTGGTTAAAGAATGAGCCCCCCACCAGCAGATGGCCTAATGGTTACGTCACTGGGCTCCCACACAGGCAGCCTCGGTTCAAATCCCGGACCCGGGGGCTTAAAACACACTGGGTGCACGTGCGTGTGCGCCCAAGATCCCGAGAGGAGGATAGAGAAGGGGAAGATGTCTTGCTTTCTGTCTCTCTGGCAAGCGCATGTGCCCTCAAGCCAAAATCTCTCTCTAAAAAAAAAAAAAAAGAAAAGAAAAAAGGCAAGTTGGCTTACTCGTGCTTTCTCCTGAAAATGCATTGTACTCCTGTGCTGTTGGCGGCATTTACCACAGGAAACTGTATACGTAACATTTAGCCAAAACTAAACACCTCTGCAAAATGCCTCAATATAGATGGCTTCATTACCTTCCAATCAGCCCGAAAAGAACGCACCAATAGGTTGTAGAACCGCAGGGGCGTCCGCCATCAGAAGGCGTTCCAATGATGGCCCTGAGCCCAAATCCCAGGGAATCAAAACACAGTTAGGCAGCCACTACATCCCATTATAAAACATCATCATCGCTTTCAGACTCTTTTTTTTTTTTTCTCTCCCCCAGAAAATAAAGACTTGGGCACAGGAGGCCATCACCTAAGCAGTTTCCATCCCAGGGTCGTTATTCTTTATGGAGGTGCTAACTAGACGCATCATTTTACAAATCCCAAGTTCACCTTCGAAATACATGCTCTCGTCCTTCGGGGGAAAGTTAATCAAAGTTGTAAAAGTGCTTTATTCCATATCTTTATTTTTCCCCACAGGGATGAGGGAATAAAAATGTGATGCATTAGAGGAATGTCAGAGACTGGCTAAAGAAACCTTGAAGTGCCATTGTCACACGCTTGTGCTCCGCAAGGGTACACGCGGACATGACTCCTTTCCGGGAAAACGATCACCTTCTGTGTTTTCATGAGAAGAGCACGCCTTCTTGGGAGGAAATTCTGCTCTGCCTACAGCCTGACGTCTTCATGCTACGTTGACCTTTGCATATGGAACTGAAAATGAAAAGGAAATTGAAATCCGAGGGGGGGAGATGGCGTGATGGTTAAGGTACTGGATTCCTACATGACTGATCATGGTTCAAGTCCCAGACCTGGCAGCTTGTTTTCTCAGTCTTCTTCTCTCTCTCTCTGTCTTTCCCTCTCTCTGGCCAAATTGAAGAATAATAATAAATAAATAAAACTAAAAAAAAAAAAATCGGGGGTGGGGGCAATGGGTGGCACAGTGGTTTGGCTGCTGGACTCCCACATGGCTGACTACCGTTCGAATCCCAGACTTGATGGCTTGCTTTCTCCCTTTCCCTCTCTCTCTCTCTCTCTGGTCAAATGAAAATAATCACACAAATAAATAAAATTAAATAAATAATTCTTTTAAAAAAGGAAATTGATAGAGCCAGCCGATGGTGTTATGATTAAGGGCGCTGGACTCCCACATGGCTGAGTTCAAGTCCTGGACCTGGCAGCTTTCTCTCTCTCTCTCTCTCTCTCTCTTTCTCCCCTCTCTGCTCAAATTAAAATAAATAAATAAAGTTAAATAAAACTTAAAAAAAATAGAAAAAAAAGGAAATTGGACAATGTCTTCTGTGGGCTTATTAAAATTGCCTGAAACTGTTATTAAAACCGCACAATGCCCGTGGCAGAGAAGGCGAGGATGGTATCCATTATTGGTAGCTTCCGGCCTCTTCTGGAAACCCCAGAATCAGTCCACACGGGCTGTTTTCTCCAGGACACAGACGGCGTTTCTGTTTTGTAGCCACGTTCTAGCACCTTTTCTGGCCATGCAGTGGCTATCCATCCGTCCTCGCTGAATGCATGAGGGAGAGGATCCAGCAATGAACCATCACCCCCGGAATGAAATACAGACCACACCAGGCAATCGTAATATAATATTATTAAAAAACTACACCTGGATTTACAAGTTGTTTGAACCAAAAATACATACTTGAATTCTGTGTTTTGTTTTGTTTTGTTTTTTTCCCACAAGCTTTTTGAAGTCCCCTCACGTGTGGGTATGGGTGTATGCATGTGTGTGTGTGTTCATTCATTGTGTATATATATATATATATATATATA